TAGTTATAATGAAATTATTAAATTATTCTTAATGAAATATTTTTTTATATTATTTTATTATAAATATTTTAATAAATTCATAAGATATATTGTATTTTAATTTACAATCCAAATAATTAAAAATAAATCTCATAACTTTAACATTTTATTAAATATTGATATTTAAATTTAAAACTATACTCTATTTATTCTAAAATAATTGTCATTATTTAACTTTGAATTTATTCCAAAGTAATTGTTGTTTTTTCATTTTTTTATGACATATTAATATTTCTTCCTACTTTAAACCTTATCATTATCTATTTATTTTGATTGATTATTTTATCACAAAAATTTTATTTTATCTTTTAAATTTTTCTTAAAAATAATATAAATAAATACTTAAATTGTCTCAAATCTTTAATTTGAAGAAAGAATGAAAAAAATAATAATATTTTTAGGCAAAATAAGTAATTAAATACAGACACTTTATACATTATTTCTTTTTCTTTCTTTCTTTCTCGCTTTCTTTTCCATTGATGAAGTTATGGGAAATGGTAGATATATCATATAAAATTACACATTTTATTACATATTGAGAGTTTTCGTTACTTGTATCGTTAAAATTAACAGTTTTTGTTATTTATGCTATTAAAATTGACAATTTCCTCTATTTATGTTGTTAAAACTAATAGTTTTTGTTACTGTGTAATAAAATATGTAAATTTGCAAAGAATATGTATTATTGTCCTTAAATTATAGAAATAGTATCTATCCACTTTATTTCATAAATATTAAGAGGAAAATTATGTTAAAACTACATCCTTTTAATAAACTTCCATTCAAAAATATATATAACACTTTATTTTTAAAACATGAACTAAATATTTTTAGTCAATTCTTGTGATATTTTATTAAAACAATATAATTATAAACTAATTTTTTTTCTATTCTTTTAAAAATAAAGCAAATAAATATTAATCTTTTAAGTTATCTTCCTATAAGTAATGTACGAATTGTTCTACTCCAAAATTTTCTCATCCATCCCAAGCTAAGGGAATGATATTAATCAACCTAATTAATTAAGTGTACATTGTTT